AGTGATTGGTATGCGAGGTCAACGGTCTAACGACAACGGCTTGCGTTTACATGAGTACCCCCCCCACCCCCACCCATCCCCCCCGGCATGCGTCCACATGAGTATGATAGTATGGGTATACTCCTTCCCACCCACCCACCCCCGATACTCACCTCCGTCGTTTCGAGCAACGCTTCGGACGCCCGGCCGTCGAACCTTCCAAGCGCGCTGTTGAGCTGGAAGTCACTTACGTCCCTGGGTGACCGCACACGCAGGACGAGAGGCGGGGCAGTGTGCGACGACCACCAACCAGGAACGCGCGGAGACAAAGCAGCAGTGGGTTGGCGGTTTAGTCGTCGCAGCGGAAGAGAATGTAACGTCGCGAACGAAGCCGAGTACGACGGTGCTGTCTGCGGAGACCCCGCCCGCCCCGGCCGGTGGTTGAACTGAGAGCTGGTCTGCAAGTGGCCAGCGCTTCTCGTCTATCAGAGGGATTTTGTTTTTAAGAAAACAAGTGTTGCATTGCATTTGAAAAGCAGTGAAGAGTAGAAGTACAGTGGCACGAAAGGCTCACCAGGTGTCCAAGAAGCCAAGCAGCAGCAAGATTTTATTGTATGCACGTGTTGCAGCATGTGGGGAGTAGAGCTACAAGCGCACGCTCCCTGAAGCCTCGCTAGGCATCGAAGAAGCCAAGCAGCAGTAAAATGGCGAGTAAATAGTCCCTTCTAAAGAGGGCCACTTCCTCTGCGGAATACCAGAGATCTCACCACGAGTCCGTCAGAGGAGTCCAAAGAGGAGGAAGACAACATACAGCGGTACGGTTTGTGGCAGCTCATTACGCGTCCAAGAGCCAAGTAGCAGCTAGACGTGAAGAAATAAATAGTACCTTCTAAACTATAATGGGGTCGATCTTCCACTGCGGATTACCTACAAGGTCCTCACCAGGAGTTCATCAGAGGAGTACAAAGAGGATAGAGGAAGACTACAGCGGTACGGTTTCAGACGGGAGTAGACAAGGAGACTGCAGCATTACGGGTTTGAGGCGGCTGGCTCGCCCCGCGCCCAAGAGCCAAGCGCCAATAAGAGACAAACAAATACCTCTACAAGTACCAGGTTTCATCAGAGGCGTGCAAAGAGGCGAGAGAAGAAGTCTGCAGCTGCGGTACGGTTTCCGAAGGCTGGCTCACCAAGCGTCCACCAACGATACCGCCATGGGCCGAAGAAGATGAAGCACTTCCACCACCTGGTCCCGCACCCATCCCGCCTGATCGCCGTCAAGGAAACCTTGAAGACAACGAAAGAAAACACGGGTAGGGGGGCATCCACGAAAAAAACAAAAGGTCGTGCTTGCACCGCCGACATAGTACAAGATAACAAGCACCAACACACCACTGTTGGAAGCCGGAGAGACGGTTACTAAGAGACCCGCTAGCGAAAAACTCAACTGCTAGCGACACAATGCGAGGTAAGCACCGCAGATGCTTCCGAGTCATGCCAGCCGGCGGCGCCATACAAGTGAAGAAGGTAAGACCGCAGACGGGATAATTGGGGGGGGTGGGAGGGGGTCGGGAGGTGAACATAACACCTACCGCACTCAACACAGTGGTGGTGACATATGCCACATACAGCAGCGAACTCATCGCGTCTTATGCAGGATCGAACACCATTTGTTGTTTCATCGCCAATGGCAAGCCGGCGATTTCATGGTGGGGACAACTTGAGGACACACTTTGCTGGGGCCGCTGTGTCCCTTGTCATATTTTCCTGTGTTTTCGAGACAATTTCAGCTACAACTCCTGCTGTAGCTCCATGTTTTCGCAGAATATTCTCAATTGTGCGGGGGCGTCCATGGAACACGACGCCCCGTTGTTACCAATTCAGTCCCTTCTTTACGTGCATCTACGTTCTCAACACCGCCTGCTCGGTCGTTCAGCGGACTATGACGCCCCGTTTTTTTACCAACTCTTTTCTTCACGTTTTCACGTAACAACAAACACCACCTCCTTTTTGGGTTGAGATGGGAGGGGGGCGAACGCGCCCCGTTAGGGTACGCACGTAGTCCTACTGGCACGCGGAGGGGACGTAGGCATCCAATACAAGTAGAGACATTGTATCCATATCGCAGGACATGAAATGCGATATATGATGCACCCAGATATCGAGAATTGTTCCGCGATATTCGATACCACAATACATCCATCGCATGGTATACATTAGGAAAAATAAATACACACACAGAAAGACTACCCGTTCGAGACATACCCACAGTCGAACGGGATGTGGTGGAGTCTTTTCAGTGAGCGGAGGAAAACCGGCTAGGTACTGGACTTATTTACATATCGCAAAATGTATCCCGCATCCGATATGCGATACCGAACACCAGTCGCCACGGCCGACCTTGATGCGCTGCTACGTACGACACACATCTTGAGCACCGACGCGGAAAAATCAAAATCGCGTTCGTTTACCGTCCTCTACGAAATCTCCCATGTCGTTCTGCAGCCAGTACAGCCCTAGCAGCAGCAGCAGGAGCTCCAGAGCGTAGGAGGTGTGGCCATCGAGGGCGTGCTGAGGTTGATCGTCTTGGTGCACCGGTGCGTCATCGCTGGCGGAATCTCCAGCCGCATCCACTACCTCCTTGAAGGCTTTGAACACCAGCAGGCAGGCGTGGGCGTGACTCGCGCGATAAATCTGAGGAGAGATAAAAAAAAAAGCAGCAGATGATTGGTGTGATTTTCGCCCACACGAACGCATGGCGAAAAATAAGACATTCTCTCTCTCCCCCCTGGTTGTCTGTCTCTCTGCTGCAAGGATCTTGCGCTTGTCCCGCCATCGCGATACCGTAGGTGACATGACACAAGATATCACACCCCCTGTCCCGATTTTCAAAGGTAGTACTCGGGAGGGATAATAACGGCGGTGCTGAAAATGGCGGCATTGGAACCGTCTCATCGAGAGCTTTCCGACAACGTTTCCTTTGAATTCATCATCCTCTTCGTCGTGGAGTAATGAAGCTTTGAAAATCGTTCCAGGGGGTGTGTTATCTTGTGCCATGCCACCTACGGTAGTTTCATGAAACCTTGACCACCCAGTGGGTGACTTGATTGAGCCCGCACGGTGGGAGAACGACAGTGAGCGACATATCGGACTAGATCCCATCAAGACTCACTCTCTGACCGTGATTGCCTCATGGTTTCGGCTCTTTCTCCCTACTGCCTGTGATAACATGAAAGAACATGAGTTCACCAATACAACAGCAGCTTACATCGCAGCGTCTCCTTCGAACACACCAATCACCTCCGCGAACGCCTCGGTCTTTTCAACAAAAGTGGCAAGCAGTTTTCCGATTTTCGCTCACCCCTTGAAAACATTTCGCCGCAACTTTCAATGAGCAATAAAAAAAACCGCGTGCCATATTTCCCTTTTCCGACTTTAACTGCCTCCCTCCACCCGCTAGCCAGGAGAAGACGGTAGGTGTGCTGGAGCATAGGAAGTGGGTTGAACAGGCGGGAAGTGGTATCGATAGGAAGATGGGCAAGGCAAAACACTTTTGAGCCACCTTGGCACAGCAGGAAGGAACGAAGGGCCATCGGTGATCGGTCCGGTGAGAACAACGCTCCGTCCTCTCGATGACGCGTGGTGTATCGTCTTAACAACGAAGGCCAGTTGCTATGGAGATTTTTTTTTCATTTGGAATCCCGATTTTAAGCCTGTTACATGCAAACCCACATGAGGCCGCAGGAGTTCTGCGACCTTCATTGAGAAAGCACAAAAACGCGCTTTCGCACTCAGTACTCGCCTCACAAAGATCCGTTTGCGGTCAAATCTTCGAGCCGCACAATGCATTGCTGTGAACCTCTTGTGAGTCAAGTTTGGGGGAGCTGGCGTGCAGTGTGTGTTCATCATGTT